AAAACGAAACTTATTAAACATGTTATTACTTTGTTTTTGGAGAATATAGTGCTTTGAAAAGAAAAAAGCAACATGGTGGTCTAAATATGTTACGTGTTAACAACGAATACCCCACAGAAGTGTAATACACCTTTTTATTTAATATTAAGAACAGTTTTTTGGCATAGATAGATTATTTTTAGAATATTATTTTTCCCCTATGGTCATTATGGTGTATTATTTCAGATTTGTTCTTTTAGCAAAAACATTCTCTCTCTAAAAATGATCTGTGAATGTTTTTTTCATTAGTTTGTGTTAGACCCCGTTTACACTGTAACAAATCTGCTATCACCGTATCGGAAATGATCTACATCAGGGGTGCTCAATACGTCGATCGCGATCTACCAGTCGATCGCCAAGGTCGTGTGGGTACATTGCCGTGTCTCGTCTCGGACTCGCGTTTGGACTCGGTCTTGTCTCTCACTCAAGGTCTGACACTCAACAAGTGCGATCATATTTCATTACGGCATTTGGCATTTCATGCGAGAAATGCAGCTGAAGTGAAGACTGGCTGATGCTCGCTGTGGCTGTAGCCGTGAATGTTTTAATCTAAACATACAGAGAACCTGATATTTGCTAATTAGCCCTGGGATAACATTACGTCGGATGTTAGCCAACTGGCTACCACTATGTTATCTAACATATAGGTGCAATTTCCCGTTCAAAGGAGGTGTTTCATTTCTCGCATGAAATGCCACCAAAAGTTCCTCGGGACGCTGAAATGTCCCAGTTTACACCAAGCACTACCAAACTGTCCTGGTTACAGACGTCACAGCTAATGAAATGTTACACATTACAGTTTAATGCAACTTCCAGCATCAATTAATGTTCGTGTTTACAGGCAACACCTTGGTATGTTTACAGTATTTACCGGTAAGTATAACGTCACCGTGACGTGGATGGATTTGCTCATTATAACCCATTATAACTCATGAAAAACCCATTGTCTGAAATGCAGCTGAGATGAAGACTGACTGATGCTCGCTGTGGCTGTAGTCGTGAATGTTTTAATCTAAACATACAGAGAACCTGATATTTGCTAATTAGCCCTGGGATAACGTTACGTCGGATGTTAGCCAACTGGCTACCACTATGTTATCTAACATATAGGTGCAATTTCCCATTCAAAGGAGGTGTTTCTACACAATATTATACAGCAGCGTTCGGTTCCCGAATTCAAGACATTTTTACAGTAGATTTTAATTAACCCACTTGTTGGTCGCTGTTGTAGCTTCTTGTGCTATTACTCTGTTTTTACTCTGCTACAAACTTGAGCTGCGCAGTCTTGATCTTGATCGATGTTTCTTCTGCTCGATGAATAATGTCTGTGAAGTGATGACGTATTTTTGACAGTAAAGTTCCGTCTGTGAATTCGTATTCGTACTGATGAAAGCGTAATCGTAAATTTTCATTTCGTGATTGTAATTCATGACGTCGTAATTTTTCAATTCGTATTCTGATGGATAAAATACACACAGTATATTTTATGTACGACTGGACTCATTTGAGAATTTACAAATATTTATTTTATGCGCAACTACAGCCAAATATGTACGGATTTCCCAAATACGCACGGATTTCTATTTTATGCGCACGAATATTTTTGACAGCTTTCTTACTCCATAAGAATGCAACTCCAGTTTGGAACTTTAAAAAACAGGTTTAAAAATCTTCCTTCACTTTTTTCACAGTTTTGTGTAAAGTGCCAGAGGAAGTTCTCTTAAAGAAGGGGTTCTCAAACTGTGGGGAAGGGTCCAAAAAAGGGGCACAGAGTGTTTCAGTGCAGTTTGCTTCTCTTTGTATTAGGTAGATCTTTATGACTTGGTCATTTTGTAAGTAGCTCGCATGCTGAAAAAGTGTGAGCACCCCTGATCTACATCCACTCTGTCTGTATGTATTTACGTTTTACAAAAACAAAACTTGCATGGCTATTTGCATAAACTGAGCACTCAAAACAGCTCGCTCCTTGTGCGCTGATGCGGTTCAGCTTCTGTCGGACTAAAGGCCACGACTCAGTGGAATATGAGTGTTCTTTCTGTGACAGAGGGGTGTTCTGCTGATGGTGAGTCTGTTCTGTGCTTCTATCGCATTGGAGATGGTTCATGGGAAACGTTTTACAGATTATACGTGTGCAGGTCGTACACATAGACCTTATATATGAATGGACATATATTATAGCCTCTTAGCATTTTGGTGGTGAATTACTTCACGGTGCATAGATCTACATCAGCGCATCAGCATTTTCAGGCGTCCACACGGTGCCAGATCAGATCCGTACTCAGATGAATTCGTGGGACTAGTGGCACCAGATCGTTCCATCTCTAGAGCTGTTTACAGTCAGATAAGTGTGGACGAACACTGCATCCACAACAAAAACGACTTGAATACGTACTAGTGTGGATGGGGCCTTAATTGAATTTGAGATCTTATACTGTAATTTTTGTTTAAATATTTATAGTGTTTCATCTTAAACTATTTGCCATTCAAAGGTTTTCAAGACATCTGCTTGTTTCCATGGAGATGTAATTGCTTTGCCTGGAATGTTCCACAATATGTTATTAATATATATCTTGCATCTATTCAAGTATGATTATTTTTACTGCTCAAAAATACCTTTACAAAAATATATATTCTTGCTTTATGTGGGCTTGCCTCTCCACAGATCTGCCAATAGATATGTTTAATGCCATACTGTGAAACATTCCAGGCAAATAACATCTCCATGGAAACTAAACTGGCAGCGAGCCCTCCACCAGAAAAGTTACACAGTGGCACCTTTTTCAATGAATACTGTAGATATAAAATGGTAGTTAGCAGTTTATGAACATATTTTAATAGTGAGTACAGTTCATTTTTAGCTCAAAAGACAACAGATTTCTTCTAAACTTAATATTAAGTCATAAAATACAAAAGGAGAGATGACTTTATGGTAATTATTTGAGTCTGAATTATTCATTACAAAGAGCTCAGAGAGAAAGTGCATTTTAAGTGTCTTCAGCCTATTTGCACACAGAAGAGATAGAAGGCTTCATTAGATCCACTCATAATAATAGTTAGAATATAATATCCATGTCTTTCTTACACCCAAGGTCATTGTAAAAGCATAAACACAATAAAAACAACTTTAAAGGGCCCATTTTATATGCTATTTTCTGATCTATGTTCTAATGTTTCCTCATCACAAACAGATCTGGAGTTGTGTTTTGTTTCATTCACACACACACACACACACACACACACACCAACTTTGCAAATTTAGGCTGAGTTCTTTGCTCAAATTGAAAACATGCTGTTCCACCTTGTGATGTCATGTGGTAATACAGGAAGTGCTCCACTGTGTTTTTAAACTCCACACACCTTCATTTGAATCATTTGGATAATTTTAACCCAGGAATTGCTAGTCTCTACTAAACTAAAGAGAAAAAGTATGGGTGTTAACTTGAAAACTACCACAACATGACATCACAAGGTGGAACAGAGCATTTTGAGCTTTGGAGATGCAGACAGATTAATAATAAAGTGTTACTCAAACATGTGTGAATGAAACAAAACACAACTCTAGTTATGTTTTTGAGGAGGTAACAACATTATAATGTGACTTAAAGCTCCCAAGAGTCAGTTTTGTGAAATGTAAGATCTTTAAATCCGTTTTTAAAACCTTTGTAAAGACTGTATATATAAATGATCATAGCTAACGCACTAGCCGCCGCGTTCCAAATAGGAAGTTCACATGTGGGCTCCTCTGGCCCCTACTGACTCGGACTCCCATTGGAATATTGTGGCCCCTCTCTCTGTAAATACTGCACTGAGCCTCATCATTTTGATCTTAAAATGTTCGTATTAGACCGCTCCATATATCTAAACTGTTGTTTCTTGTTGTAGAATGGGCTGAACTCACTGGCTGACCTCACTTTGGGACCTCCCATTCATTGAAGGGGTATATGAGCACCTGGGCTGGCAACCATTTTGTGTGCTGTGATCCAAGACAAGGAAAATATCTGATGAAGGCTTTTTTTTTGCTGAAACGTTATTTTGTTAATAAAAAAGCTTTTGGACATTGGCCAACCGAGTGTGCTATGCATTTTTTCACCCTTGTATTAGTCCGCTCCACATTATCCTGGTGTTTTAGGTTTTTTTTTTGCTAATTTGTCTGTCAAAAAGTCCTATTCATAATATATATTTTCTGTGTTCATAAAATGTTTAACTTAGGGGCATGTGTGCTCCTGAGAAAAAAAGGTAGAGTAGAGCCCTGGGTGACGTCACACTCACTTAGTCCGCTTTTTTATACAGTCTGTGTTTTAAACCTTTGTACTTGTGATGCAAATATTTTCCAATGAGGAACTTGGTATAAAAAAATTCTTGCCTATTTAAAGTTGCTTTCAAGTGACAAAATGCCATTGTCAAATCCCCATAGTTTACAATTAAGTTGAAGGACAGGTCAGACAGGTCATCCTATGGTGGAATTTGCTGTTTAACTGTCAGATTGCAGATTTGTTGACCTGTATTATGGTTCATATGCTTCAAATCGTAATTACTGGGCCTATTCACATAAAACAAAAACTCTCACTCTCAGGTCAACATCTTCTCTATCAGCATATATAAACAAAAGTGAAATAATTTTGTTCACAATAGCTTCAGAAAGTGGTGCCATTATTCAACCCTAAAGATGTGATCATTGTTAGTTAAAAGGACCATAAAACCATAAGATTATTTATAGTGAATCACAAATAAATAATAAAGGTCAACATGTGTGGACCACGGTTTTGGATATTTCTTTCAAAAACAGTGAATCTCCAATAAAGTTATATAGACCCCTTCCCTCCATTGGAAATAATAGCATTATCAAATACTGGAACCTGAATGCAAACTATATAGCTATATGTATAGATAGAAACTTTATCTATCTCGAAGGAAATCAATTTTATATATCTGCTATTACATAAATATTTGTTGTTTCTTACCTGTAGACCAGTGAATCATCATAGGTCCCATTGTATTGTATTTGAAACATCCTTATTCCTGGTATGGTCCTTTGAAAGTTGAATTTGACGAGAGCGGAGGAGGAGGTTGCTTCGGCGATCACCACTTTCTTCTCCGGACTGGTTTTTGCGTTGCTCAAAGGCACGTTGCCGGGCTCAGATCCCGTCTTGGTCACCGTGGCGATGTCGGAGGAGCCGGGGTCTGGTTCCTGGTCCACTGCTGTGTTGTTGGTGATGTGGGGCAGTTTGTCAATGACCAGGTCCACGGTCTGCTGGGCCTCTCCCGCGGGGTTTGATGCTACACATGTGAACGAGCCTGAAAGACGGAGAAATAAAACCGTTCAGGGGAAATTTTGGTATTTCGGAAGCAGTCAGAAACAACAACAAAGAAAGAATAACATCATTTGATAACAAGTGGATGTAATGGGTAAAAAAAAGTCTATTCTTTCAGACATCAAGGAAATTGTCATAAAATAGTTTGTGGTTATTAAATTGAAATTATAAACTACATGAGATTATAGCAAGTTAGATCCATTTTCAGCCACATGTGAGCAAGGGGAACTGGGCATTATAGGGTCTCAGTTCTTAGTACTGTTATGTGTGAACTGTCTGTTGTTGTTGGTTAGAAGTGGATAAATACACAAATGTTTTCAATCTGATTTGAAATTGTGGAAATGCAGCAAAGACTGGGAAATATTGAGAGGAAAGACTGATTTTCAAAATAGAATTCTTGATTCTTGTAGTTTTAGACAATTTTAAATTAAATGCTGTACTTAACCTAGATATTTGAGATCGACCAATGTGTTTTGTTTTTCCATGGTCAATGCCAATTTAGAATTCAGAAAAACCGATGGCTTAAGGTCTGCTGATATTTTTTACTACAAACTTGCCCTCAGCCTTTAGTTATTTATTTATTTATTTATTTTTTTTTTACCACAGACCTATAAGAGAACAATGTAGTCCACTTCACCCGGCATGAGATATAAAAAAAATAACAAGTATAAAATAGCCTACAACTTTAAATGTCAAACCAGAGCTATTGGCAATGTTGAAAACAACCTGCATAGACTCATGATAACTGCAGTACTGTCCCTGCCACATGAGGGGACCAGGACTGATCCCAGGACTGATCCCAGGACTGATCCCAGGACTGATCCCAGGACTGATCCCAGGACTGAACCAGGAGACTAAACCAGGACTAAACCAGGAATAAACCAGGAATAAACCTGGACTAAACTTGGACTAAACCTGGACTAAACCAGATCTAAACCAGGTCTAAACCAGAACTGAACCAGGAGTGTCGGAATGGGCCTGGAGGTGTGCCCATATAGACTGTCGGGTGATTGCAGGCAAAAGGACTGGGTCACAGCTCCATGCCTCACAGGGCTAAGCGCAGCCATCACCCGATCATGTTGTGCGAACACCCTGCTCCACAGGCTCAGAGTTCTCTCTCTCACTCTCAAGTCCAAAATTATTCCTAGTTTAGACCTGGTTTAGTCCTGGTTTAGTCCTGGTTTAGACCTGGTTTAGTCCTGGTTCATGTGTTGTAGGGTATGATTTATGTTCTGTAGGTTGATTATGGCATTAATGTTACTAACATTTTGAGGAAGGGGGGGATCACATCGATGATGTCACGAATCGCGTACCCCCACTTAAAAAAATCCTCACTACACCACTGGTGTAGTCACGTTTTTGTATTTTGAGTACTGAAGTGTTCAAATAAATCTTTGTGTGTATTCTTTATATAGCTGGTTTGCTCAAACAAAATATCAGAGGGAGCTGAAGATTTAAAGACAATAGGTTTAAAGAGAGAGTTTTATTATCTTTTTATCAAAATACTTCTTTGTAGATATATCATGCTTCAAAATGTGTTATCGTGATAGGTCTTGTATTCTCCTTTGTGCAGTAAAAGGCAGTAAAAGCCTTCCATTCAACGTCACTTCCATAACTTCAGCCCTTGCCCTCCCTCTGCTTTCACATCTGCTCAGACTTAGCAGAAAATTACAATTCGCCAATAAATAACCCAGAGGAGCGAGCCTCAGACACAGCCTCGTCCTTGGGGGTGACAAAGTTTTCCATCATTCACACAGTAAACTTTATCAGTCCACAAATACCACAGTCTTATATTATAGGCCCTGTGAGTGCAGACGGCAAACAGCTCACTCTGCTCTGTCAATAAGCAGGACCTTGTACACAGACAAGTCCTTGATCAAAACAAATAGACAATATTATAATATTGCTTTGGCAACACTTTAAAACTACATTTATTCATGTCTTAAAGTTCCTGTATTACTTGTTATTATTTGTATATTTCCTATTATTACTTTGTATGGAATGTTTCACAGTATGGCATTAAACCTGTCTATCTTCATGGAGACCAACCCAGATCAAGTTACAGGTCAGATCTGTTTTTCTAGGTATTTTTACCTCCGCCAAGGAGGTTATGTTTTTGCTGGCATTTGTCTGTTTGTTTGTTTGTTTGTTTGTCTGTTAGCAACATAACTCAAAAAGTTATGGACCGATTTTGATGAAATTTTCAGGATTTGTTGGAAATGTGAAAAGGAAGAACTGATTTCATTTTGGGGGTGATCCGGAAGAAATCCTGGATTCTGGATCACTTTGAAATTTTAGTTAACATTGTGGTAAATGGGGCCAAAAATGTAGTTTCTCAATATCTCGGTTAATTATTGACCAAACCCCATGAAATTTGACTCAGGGATGGACAATCGGATCCTCTTTCATATTCCAAATTGAAAGATACGAGACAAATATTTATGGAAAACACAATTAATATGAGGGGGACTGTAGTCCTTGGCGGAGGTCTGCGCTCTCTGAGTGCTTTTCTAGTTGAGTTATAAAACCACCTGTAAAATCGTTTCTGAAACGGTGATACGGTTGTTTCAGTGTAAACGTAACCTTAGTAACTAGCTATCCTTTACGTTTATCTCAGTAGAGATATACAAATGATTCTAGTGAAGGTGTGTGGAGTTTAAAAACACGGCGAAGCACTTCATATCTTACTGCATGAAGTCACAAGGTAGAACAGAGTGTTTTCAGGTTGAGAGAAGAACTCTTTGTTCTTAAGGATTTATGTGTTAAACGTGTGAATGAAACAAAACACAATTTCAGGTATCAGGTATCAGGTAGGTGTGATAATGAAACAACATTAATATAAAAACAAGGTCAGAAAATAAAGTAATATGGCCCCTTTAATACAGCATGAATAAAGTATTTGGTATTTTAATTCTGTGGGGTATTAACTGCTAACACATAACATATGTAGATCACAATATTTGTATTAGCAGGGCTTATGTGTTAAAATTGTGAATGAAGCAAAACAAAACTCCAGGTATGTTTATGATGACGTAACAGTAGATAATAAAGCAGCGTTTACAATACACAGACCTGAGTCCTTGACAGTGCTGATGAGGATGTCCAGTGTCCCGTCAGAGTGAACCATGGCTCGAGTGGAGTTGGACATGAGGCGTCCATCAGGTGCGATCCAGTGAATCACAGGGTCTGGGTCTCCTCTGGCCTTACAGCGCAATGTCACACTCTGTCCCTCCAACGCACGCAACTCCTGAGAGAGAGGGAGGAAGGGAGAGGTAATGTGGATGAAGTGTCTTGCCTAAGGACACAACAACAAATCCAAATCCACTTTATTTGGATTTGCTGTTTTGAAATCTGCTTTACAAACAAAGCAATTTCCAAAGTGCTGCATAGAGATCATAAAATTCAACAAAGTCAACAAAAGGTATAATTGCAAATAATTGATCATGTCAGTGCTAAAACATTAAAACCATTATAAAAACCATAAAATTGCTATAAATAAGTAAAATAAATAAAAATAAATAAAAGACACAGGGGTCCACACAACTCACATGTTGTAAAAAATCTGAGAAAGCGTAAAAGTGAGTTGAAATAATAAAAGATGACACTTAGACCACTCGATTGTGGGGGCTGTTTGGACGTGTGTGTGTGAATGCGTGAGTGTGTGTGTGTGTGTGGAGGGGGCTGTTTGGATGTGGAGGGGCAGAGCGTTCCAGAGCTTGGGGCTGGCCACACAGAAGGCGATGTCTTTCCGGTTTTAAGTCTCATCTTGGGCACCACAGGCTGGACTGGCCCTCAAACCTCAGAGCGTGTGTGTGGGTGTAAACAACAGTATACACTAGTGCAGACCAGGGCATGGTACAGCTCCAGGGCTACACGAGACCCTTTGTTTGACACAGTCTGGCCCGTTTAAGCTGATTTGGAATGACAAAATAAGTGTATTTTATCATTTTGCCTCATTCATGGACTAAAGCTGCATTGTTTTTATTTTAGAGGTGTTTTTTTAATTGACATTTCTTGTAGGGCAGCCTCACTTTTTCATTGCTTAGTCATAACATAAACTCTTACCGGTCTGACCAGCTCATCAAAACAATGCTATTTACCTGCTTTTTATAAAGAAATACAATTAATATTAGAGCTCGACCGATATATTGGGTGGTCGATATTATCGGCTGCTATGGCCACTTGGAAACATATTGCCGATTGGCCGATATGTTTGCTGATATGGGCCGATATTTCACGTGGGCATGTTATGCCTTGTTATAAAGCTTAGACTCTATATTATGTCCATTTAATCCAATTTACAGACAGATAAATGTCCTAATATGTGGCGCAGTATCAGCATTTATCTGTGGAGTCATTTGTCTGTGTCGCTGTACTGCCCCTGAACACACCCCCAGAGTCACTGTCAACATATTATATTTATGGATGATAGTTTTGAGTAAGGATTAAAAGGACACTTATTTGTGAAGACCTGTGATCTGAGAAGAGCCTGTGTGAGTGCTGAGTGTAGCGTCGGTTTTGAAGCTACTTTTGGTTCTTTCTCATTGGTTAGTGCTTAGCTGCAGCTCCCTCACGTAAACAGCCTGTTTTCTCTAACACTGGCCTAGTGTAAAGTGACTATTGTGGCTGTATATATGTTTTTGGACCTGCATTGATATGTAAATGACCTGTGAATAGAGGTGTGAATTATCTGCATTTACACTTATAATTAATTATCGTGACGCGCACGCATTTAAGGCTAAAGGCTGATAGCACTAGTTTACTTACTTCCTTTACTGGCTAGAATGTTATGCAAAAATACAATTAGGATGACCTACTGTCTTTAAATATGATTGTAAAGAAGAAAAATAACAATACATGTAGCCTAAATAAACCCAATATAAAATCCAGTAGAGCCAGACCTAACTTTTATAATCAACTGAAGATTTATAGTGAATTTTTACATCACTAAATGTATCGGTTTTTATATACGCTATCCGCACCTCCAACTCCTGTTTTATCTGTATCATATTGGCCGCAAAAAAATCCATATTGGTCGGGCCCTAATTAATATTATGCAAAACTGAGTTAAGCATTTTTGCCCGGTCCTTCACAATATTTTCTTTTTCTCATGTGGCCCCATGAAAAAAAAATATTGCCCACCCTTGCATTAGAGCCACTGCTGCCTCACTGTACTGGCACCTGATATTCCCACTGGTCTCCCATCAAAGTACTAACCAGGTCCGGCCTTGCTTAGCTTCAGAGATCTTGTGAGATTGGCCATTGACAAGCCGATATGCCCCATAGACTGAATATATAAATGGACATAGCTGACCCGCTACCCGCTGTGTTACAAATCCAAAGTGAGCGGGGGGGCGCGTCGAGCTCCACTTGACTTTGTATTGTATAATATGTATAATATGGAACTGACTCCAAATTCGCCCTATAACTGCCAGTCTTGTGAGCTTCATTTGACTGGAGCTGAACACTGTGGGTGACAACACACTCCCTTAGCCCACTTCTTTATGCAGTCTATGGTCTGGCCGCAGATCATATTTCAGACATCCTATTTATATCCTATGCTTTTTTCTGGCCGAGTTACAGAGCAAACCTCTATAGAGAGAGGCAGGAGCGCATGATTTACAAGCTATTTTTTTCTGTAAATGAAGAAATCCAACATACAGATCTGTTTCAAGGGAGACAACTATATATTTACATTAGAGGTCAGATCTGTGGAGAGACATTCACACATTCACAGAAAGTAATATTGTATTTTTGAGCAATAGAAACACCTGTAATGAATAAATGCTTTGCAGACACGTTTAAAGGGACAGTCTTACCCACTCCACAAAACACTCGAAGCAAAACAATTATTAGACCAGACTATCCATGTAAATGTCTGTGTTGATAGAATAATCTTTGAAATAAAACTAACCTTGCATCGCATGAATCGTCACATGTTGAGGGACTATTTTCTCAGCAGCAGCTGGTAAGGTAGGTGCTAGACATGGATCTATTAAAATAACTTGACAGGATGTTGTGGCTTGTAGCTGCCTCCAGTTGACATAGTGGACACTCATTGGTACTACAGAGGAAAAAAATCCCTGGGGTGAGAAAGGATTTTTCTCGTAGAGCGCAATGTAATCAAAAAACGCTCATGTTTGGCTGATAGAGCACCTACAACTTTCAGAAATGTCAGATTTGCTGGCTATTTTTACCTATTTTTAGATCATAAACTTTTTCTCAGCTCAAAACCCTTCAGTTCCATGCGTGTGCTCGTGTGCATTTATGTGTGCCCGTGGGAGAAAAGAACACTACTGCGCATGCTCAATTCAATTGGCCCACAGCCCTCGAAGTACCTAGCCAGGCTAAAGGCTAATCTGGAGTCATCTGTCATTGAGCTCTGCCCACTGAATGGGCGGCTATTTTGAAACCCCGGGGTTTGGTGCTAGGTGATATCAGTCTGCCGCTGCCAAGCTTTCTATGAGGAAGTACAACTCGCTGCTGCTGCTCAGACATAAATCCTTCAAATGCAATGTTGGTTTTACTTCAACATAGGCATTTACATCGACAGTCTGGTATAATAATAGATTTGCTTCACGTGTTTTGTGGAGTGGGTAAGACTGTTTTTCGTGGCAGGATAACTATGGCCATTGATATGCACTAGCCTACTACCAGTGACCTCTGCAAATACAAGGACTGGATGGAATATTTTTAAAAGTGTCTCCACATGTCTCCAACACTCTTGCTTACTAGGAAATGAGGTACTATGTCCAAAATTCCGGACTGTCCTCTGAATATCACTCCATGGAGCATTCCAGGCAAAGCAATAACAAGCAAGTGATGACCCTCCATCAGAAAAGAGCAGTGCACCTTTAATGCCATATTGTGGAAGCTGAATGCCACAATTAAAACTGATATACTGACTAAAGCTATTTAATCTGGGACACACATATGCTAATGAGAAAGGATTGAATCTATGCCACCAAGCATCCATATTTTCTTGCTATCTCCTTCTTGTACAGCCTGTTTTCAGATGTGTTTTTTGTTTGTGTGTTCTTTTTTTTGATGAATGCTAGAGCTAACATACACAGACTAAGATGAGAAAACATGCTATTCTTTGGTGGTTATTAGTGAGAAAATCCTATTCCCTAAATTGCTTTATAGATAATTTGCACTTGTAAACAACCCCCAAAACAATGAATCACCAGTGTCGTGTTGGATTTAGCATGGCCGTGAAACTATACGCTAATCAACACAACAAAATACACTCTGGTCCGAGTAATTAGAATTATGCAAATCCCGATATGTAAAGGAGGGGATATAGATGTGCTATAGGAAGACGATTTGTTCAGATAAAAATTGTTGAAGGGGGTGTTTAAATTCAAAGGATAAACTGCTGTAAGAGATTTAAAGAAGATATATTAGGCTTGTGTCTGCTATATAGTTATAAGCTACTGTGTATTGAGAGCATTATGCCATGTCCCCAAAAACAGACCTGGAATTGTGCTTTTTTCATTCACACATGTTTGAGTAATCCTGCATTATTAGTCTGTCTACATCTTCAAAGTTCAAAATGCTCTGTTCCACCTTGTGATGATGAAGTGGGAGAAGTTAACATCTATCTTTTACCTTTTGTTCAGTAGAGATTGTCAATTCCAGAGCTGAAATTATCCATATGATTCCAGTGAAGGTGTATAGAGTTTCAAAACACACTGGAGCACTTCTTGTATTACCACGTGACATCACAAGGTGGAATAGAGTGTTTTCTGTTTGAGAGAAGAACTAAATATGCAGGGTTTGTGTGTTGAAACAAAACACAACACCAGGTCTGTTTGTGATGAGAAAACAACATTATAACACAGATCAGAAAATAGTGTAATATAGGCCCTTTAAAGAGACAGTCCGGAATTTTGGATATAGCACCTAATTTCCTCGTGAGTCAGAGTGTTGGAGACGTGTGGAGACACTTTTTAAATATTCCATTCAGTCCTTGTATTTGCAGAGGTCACTGGTGCTAGACTAGTGCATGTCAATGGCCATAGTTATCATGCCACTAAAAACCACTCCACAAAACACCCAAAGCAAATCTATTATTACACCAGACTGTCCATGTGAATGTCTGTGTTGATAGAATAAAGTCTGAAATAAAACTAACCTTGCATCGCATGAATCGTTGCATGTTGAGGGACTATTTTCTCAGCAGCAGCAGAATTTTACTTTGCCGGTAAAATAGGTGCCAGGTGATATCAGTCCACCGCTGCCAAGCTTTCTGTCAGGAAGTACAACTCACTGCAGCTGCTCAGACATAAATCCTCCAAATGCAAGGTTGGTTTTACTTCTAAAATTATTCTATTGAAACAGACATTTACATCGACAGAGTGGTGTAATAATAGATTTGTGGAGAGGGTAAAACTGTTTTTTAGTGGCAGGATAACTATGACCATTGACGTGCACTAGCCTAGCAACAGCGACCTCTGCAAATACAAGGACTGGATGGAAATTTTAAAAAGTGTCTCTACACATCTCACACACTCTGGCTCACTAGGAAATTAGGTCATATGTTCACAATTCCAGACTGTCCCTTAAGTTACAATTTGGACATTATTCATTTAAATGACTACACAACGCTGCCGAATCCTACGTGTATCATTGATTATTAACAAAATAAAATTGGTGTACAGGTGGTGGTGAAAACGGGAGTTGATTGGCAATATGGCGTCTTGAAAAAGTCTATTTTTGCATAATAGGTGTGCTTTAAATATATCATTGGCTTGTAAATAACTATGTATAATGATATCATAAAAGAATGCAAAAATGTTATCTAAAATTCTCAATAGACCATGTTTATGACATAATTCTGTATATTATGTAATTGTTTGGCTGTAAATGAGGTTTAAAGAGTCCCACATGTCTTGTACAATTTCTTTTTTGAATGTCTAAGCTAATATTGTTTAATTTAATTGATTTTAAGGAAGTCTCAAGTGTCTTTTGTATTATTCTAGGACAGAAGTGAAAAAGAGTAAGTGACGAGCAAGAAAAATAAAGCACCATCCTTAAAACAAGGCAGAGGTCAAAATAATGACTATATTGACTTTTTCTATTTAACTTGTGAACCATGATTCAATCTAAGAGTCATTTTTGTGTAATATAGGACTTTTAAAAACAAATGCAGTTGCTTCGATGATAGTCTTGTATCTATGTCCAACTGAAGTGAGATAGTTGCTCTCAGTAAAGATTGTTACGTGTCCTCCGCCCACTGGCTTCTGCGATGTTTTCTTCTCGTCAGATAAATTGTGTGAAAACTGTTGTTAATCTTTTGATAAAGTCATAGTTTTGGAACAAATGGAACAAATGGTGGCACAGACACAAGGCCCAGACATTCAGAACACATTTGAAATGAAACTGTGGTGTATTTTTCACTTTGTTTTAGCTGAAACATTGTTTGTGGTGTGAAATGCAGCCAAGCGCTTAGAAAAAAATATACTGTGGACAGAGCGTGCCTCCTCTCTTGTGTCTATGCACTTTGATTATGCTCCAAATGTTGTACTGTTACAAAATAAAGCACTGTTTATCAACTGAGAGTACACAGACCCGTATCACTTTTGCTTTGTTAGATTTTGATTTAAATTTCATAAACATGACCTGCCTGTGTCCCCAGATACAAGGTAGACATGCTCACATTAAATATAGCTTTTACTGATAACAATTATAATGCTGATTTATTCTTAATTACAAACACAATAGGCATGATGGACAAGTTGGCTGGTATAATTTGGTGTTTTGGTTCTCAAGAGGAAAGCAGAATGAGCCTCACATGAGGCTCTCATTTTAAATTCTGAAATCCAGTTGGTTTAAACCTAAAATGCCTCTCTCTGATCTGGATGGTCACTAACTAAACCCCAGAACCTGCAGCCAATCTTGAATCAGTGCTAGTGCAGCCTCTGCAGCTCAGGGAGGGAATTCTGGAGGTTCGGAGCTTTCACACGAGACCTGTCCATATACAGAGAATGAGACAAAACTTCTATGAGTCCTCTATCACATTATTTCCCAAAGACTGGGTTGCGACCTTCAGAGAGAGAGATTTTTTTTGGGTCACCTTGTCACTATCTGCATGTAGTTCTGCAATATACAGTTCTGACACATGAGAGAGCAAGTGACTATTTTGTTGCAATAGTTAGTTCAACTGAATGTTGAAAAGCAAAAGAAATTGGCTACGTTTAATGTCCAAATAGGCGACTTCTGAATACCTTTTACTGCTGGTTCAGTGACTATTTTTCATTGTTTAAAACTTGAGTAATACTAATTGTTCAGAGAAACACAATCACTCAGTCAGCAATAAAATATCCTCATTAATGTTCAATAATGGTCAAATCTACCTTTATTTTGTGATTTACAAATAATGTCTATTGACTTGGTTTGCAAAGGTTTGTGACTTTTAAAATATGGGTCCCCAGAAAAAAAGTTCGGGAGACACAGTTCTATCAGTTTTATCAGATACTTGTCATTATAATTCATCTTTTAAAACTGAAAGAGTGCAGGACACATACAATACTTCGAAACATAAATTGTAATCTGCTGAATTAAAGCTATATCCGATTTTTCCCCATGTACCTGAACAAAAATTCTCTTGCCCCAGTACAGAAATATTGCAAAGGCAGCTCTTTAGGTCAAATCTGTCCACTGAATGCTGTCTGCAAGTAGAAAGCATTCAAGCATCCAGTCATCAGGAAGTGTAAGTTAGAATGCTAGTTGTTGTTGTCACTGTCACAGCAAAACTCCACTCAGACTCCACTGCTGTGAAAAGCACTTATAGAGTCACAGTGGTGCATAATGAGGATGTTTGAAATGCACGCATTACAAAAACTAAAATCTGGTTCAGGTTATAATAATTTGAATTAAAACCATATTCTATTGATTTGAGAAAATTTGACATGACAAGCAAAATTATCTCCCAATGGAACAAGTGTTTTTGATAATAAGATAGGATTACTAAATGGTGCGTTGTTTGAATTAAGAAAAAACTGGTGGATAATGTTACTTGTCAAATGAAATCTACTCAAATGAAGTTAAATCTTCTTAATATGAATAATTTGAACAAAAGTAAGTGAAGAAAAATAAATTTTTAAAACAGTAAAAATCAGGTACAGCATCTTTAACAGCCTTACCTGTGAGTGCCTGGTGATGAGAGGCTGCTCACACAGAAACTCCTCTTCTGAAACAGTCCAAAAATATCGTCCGGCCAAGTGCTGAGGAGAAGCGCAGGTTTCCAAATCATCCTCTCTCCTCAGCCTCCTCAGCCATAACAGCTCGCAGTTACACCTCAGCGGATTCCCCCCAAAACTCAGCGCGAACGAAGAAGGTCCCATGATCCCGGAAGTGGCCAGGACCCCGGCTCTTAGGAAAACCGGGTCAGGGGGAAGTTTTTGGAGCTTATTTGAAGTCACATCCAGTCTTTTCAACTTCAGCAATCCAGAGAATGTACCTTCAGGGATGTAACTTAGCATGTTGTGATCCAGGTTCAGCGTGTGTAAACTTGACATGCGTTGGATCGCTATCCAAGGGATGCTTTCCAAGTTGTTATAGGAAAGATCTAGCTCCTCTAACGCCGTCAGATCGTTGAAAGCTCCAATATGGATATCCGTTAGCTGGTTGTTGTTTAAGATGAGATGATGTAGCTTGGACATACCGCTAAACGTATCACTGGTGATTCGTGTTAACCTGTTGCTATCCAGATGTAGAGCTCTAAGATTTTCTAGATCTCTGAATGCATGCGGCGCGATGGTCCCAATTGTGTTTCGAGATAGCGTCAAGTCAACCAGCTTGGTCATGTTGGCGAAGTCTTTGCGTTTTATGTTAGTGACAAAGTTATCGCCCAGTCGCATTTCTACGGTGTGGCGGTCGATGTTTGGAGGGACGAATAAGAGGCCTTTTTTGTCGCATAGGGTGGCGAGGTTTGGGTTTAGGACTTGGCAGACGCAGCGTTTGGGGCAGATCTGGACTTTGTGGGCTTTCGACGCCGCCATGCCCAGGATCATCAGGCAAATTAGGAAGGATTCCATCTGGCTTCAGACTCAGGGCAACACACCTGGAAAATACAACAAAAAAAGAGAAGAAGAAGAGTTTGTTAGGTTTGATGAGGTAAGATACAATTACTTTAGATATAACAATAATTAATACTTTGCAGCAGATGTCATCAACATTCCCTGGGTGTGAGAAGCTACCTGTAGGCACTGCTCAGTCTGAAGCTCTGTTACTCCCATTGTTTTGTCACATTGTTTGCCAAAGACTGGGCTGTGACCCTCAGGTGGGTTGCAGAAGATTTTTTTTGGGTCGACTTGTCACGATCTGCATGTAGGTCTACAATATACAGTTCTGACACATGAGAGAGCGAATGACTATTTTGTTCCAATATTGCTGGTTCAACTGATAAAAAGAAAAAGAAATGGGTTACATTTAATATCCAGATACGCGACTACTGGTATTACTGGTTCAGTTACTGTTTTTCATTGTTTAAAACTTAAGTAATACTAATTGTCAATAAAATATCCTCATTAACATTCAATAATGGTCAAATCCACCTTTATTTTGTGATTTACGAATAATGTCTATTGACTTGAGTCGCAAAGGTTTGTGACTTTTAAAATATGGATCCCCAGAAAAAAAGGTTGGGCGACACTGGTGTACTGATGAAACTGATGTAGCGCTGTAGTCTGAAGCTCTGTTACTCAAGATAGAGCCTGTTTACACGAGAACGCTTGCAGATAAAAATGCAAAAATATTTTATCGGAAGTGTCTTTTGTTTAAACACTGACAGCATTTTTGGGGCTTAAAAACACAAAAATCTGAAACCAGCCACCAGAGTGGAAAAGTTGAATATGCTGTAGCGTTTCCATCTACACTGCCTAAGACGCAAAACTCTGGTCAGATCTGCTCAGGTCGCGTACACGTTTACGTCACATACTTCACCACCTAGCGTCACTGCCTAGTTGCCTGGCATGCATACCCAATTGAATTCCACACACTTTTTTGTCACCATATGCACTCAGATTTCCTCCTGAAAACCCTCGTCTAAACACAGAAATAAAAGTGAAGACGCGACACCACTTTTGGGTCTTCTGTTCAGACCGTCATCATATAAACGTAGCCTTAGTTTGAGCTTTACACAGAAATAACTGACTTAGCTGGGACTACCATAAGTGAGCTGATTTATGGAATTAAATAAGTCCCTTTCAATAAAATTACAGTCACAAAAAAAAATCAAACAAATCTAAACAGGACCATAAACCCCCCTGAAAATATATTGTTTAAGGCCATTTTGCATTCTTGGCTGTGTTTACTAATGGGTCTATTGTGTCACCGTGGTAACTACTGAACATTCCTCCATAAACTTACATGTAGAACCCCCAGCATGATGTCACTGCAAAGTATAAGTATATAATGAGATTAAATGAGTATGTTATGAACGCCTGAGAAGGAACAGTTTTATTAGAACACAAATTTTCTCTTTTCCAAATAACAAAATAACAAAAATCATTGAATTCAAAACATTTATTAAACCTTTCATTGAAACGTGGATAATCTTAAATTGTGTTATCTTAAATAGCAAATTAATAGAAGAAACATATCTACAGACTGTGCCCAAACAGAGCTGATTTCCACTTGGCCCTTTACATTACAGCACAGCAGCTTCCAGACCATACTGACAGCCCCACCTACAGAAATCTGCACTTCATGGTAACAAGGAGTGCAGTTTTCTCATTTATGCCAAAACAGTACACAGTGCTGTTGAAAACATGCGTCACCGTTTTTTCTGGAAAGAGTATGGAAAGTATGTACGGAGCGGTGGGCATGTATGGGGGATTTTTGGCCCTATAGTGTAAAAGCAGCTATATGTGACTAAAAAAAACAAAACTAAAAAAACATTTAGTTGGATGAGAACTAGAAGGAAGCCACTGCCCGGGACGAGTCTGACCATTCCAAGACTTTGCTGGACGAGAACCATGTGGGAACAACTGGCCGTGACTATCTTTCTCTGTCATGGTTCAACATAGTGACAGAAGAGTTTACAGTGGTTAAAACTGTGTACTGGCCCTTGAAGAAAACTGGCATTGCATTCACACAGTTCTGATGCAACATTTTAAGATGCACATAGTAATAAGGTCATACTTTGAAATTGGGTTAGTTACAAAACCGTTGAAATGTGTAAATTCTCTTGTCGAATAAAGTGTAGCTGTCTGATTACTCATGGTGACAAATCCTCTTGTGCAGAGGCACCAGGCGCTCCTCTGTGAAGTGAATACGACTTTCTCTTATTTAAAATACGACTTTTTCTCATTTAAAATACTATCAACAAACACTCAGATTATGTACTTTAGCTCCAGTCTTAGCAAACAATGAGCACAGCCAGAGTAATTAAGCACACACCACCGCTCCTCCTCTAATTCAAATAGACAAATATCCCATAGACGTGTGTGGGCTCAGTCTGTACTTTTGAGGGGTTATTTATTTTATTTATGTGTTTGTGTAAACAAGACTAAACCAACTTTCTATTCAATTGTTTATCTATGTTTTAACAATATAGGATTTTTTTCAAAGATTAGATATTATCGGGTTGTCAAAGCCTGATCTCAAAGCTAAGCAGGACTGGGCCTGATTGTTGGGAATTCCAGGTGCCGGTGGAAAAAACAAACAAACAAAAAAAACTGTTGTTGTATCCTTAGGCAAGGCTCTTCACCCACATTGTCTATTGGCAACCTCGATTACGTCAGTCTGCCCCAGGGCAGCTATGGTTACAGTAGCTTACCACCACAGTGTGGAGTGAATGAATAATGCTCTGTAAAGTGTCTCTGAGTGTCCAAAAAACACTATATAAATCAGATTCATTATTATTATTACATAGTAATTGTGTCACAAAGAATTGACAAAAAGACTGAAATATGAACTGCCAAATTAATATAAGAATCACATTTCATGTGATCTCCGTGTTTGTACAGACGTAAACTACAGGGTTAGCAGTTTTATGCCGGAAGAGTTGTCTGTGGAGAAACAATGGGACTTATACATACCTATATGTTTCTAAGGTTAAGGCACACTTTACTGTCCCCATGAGGATATTTCTCCTCCGCATTTGATCTATCCTTTATCTTAGGTCCTACATTATGCAAAACTGACTCTTGTGAGCTTAAAGCCATGTTGTTGTTGTTGTTGTTTCCTCATCCAAACATACCTGGAGTTGTGTTTTGTTTCTTTCACACATGTTTTAGTAAAACTGTCATCATCTCCAAAGCTCAAAATTCTCAGTTCCAACTTGTGATATCATGAAGTAATTTTCAAGTTAACATCTACCTTTTTCTGTACAGTTTGGCAATTTTAGGGGTGAAGTGATCCATATGATTCTAGTGAAGGTGTTTGGAGACACAGCAGAGTAGATCCTGTCCTGTATTAACACATGTCCTGTATTTTCTGTTTGAGAGAAAAACTCAGCCTAAATTTGCAGGCTTTGTGTGTTAAATGTGTGAATGAAACACACAACACAATACCAGGAATATTTGTGTTGAGGAAACATTATCACAACATTATAACATACAGTAGATCAGAAAATTGCATAATATGAAGCCTTTAAATGTCAACTTTAAACAGAAAACCATCAAAATGCTAATAAAGAAAAACAATAACATATTTAGACTCAATTTTGACATAGTCCTCTATCCATTCTCTAGTGTCCGACTGGTTCTGACCTTACACAACACTACTACAGGAAGGATCGTATGGCCCATAGGAGAGTGGTGATTAGACCCTCTCCCTGTTTGAAAAAGCGCTATGTTCTTATTGATTTTCCTTCTGCCTCTGCTCTTAGTTATAACAGGGCTGAGATGGAGGGATGACGATGGATACAGGAAGGATCTAGCTGAGACCCTGTACGGCATAAAATGTGCCATAAAAGGACATAAAGTGGTAAAGTGGTGATTTATCAACACAAAGTGACATACGGCGAGAATGAGCTGCTAAAAAGTCAAGTGAAGATGCAGTTTTTAGAGGTGTGAAGAGAAGGGAGGAGGGAGAAGAAGAAGAGAAGGGAGGAAGCTGTAAGGATAGTATATATTATGCGCATACAATTTGGGGTGTTGGATCAATTCTTTCTTGCTTGCAGTTTGTACTGTGAGTTGTGTCCATTTGCAAGACACTTCAACCTCACTGCGCACTTCTATCACAATATAAAAGCAGGCTTGGCAAATGACTGTTTTTGCTGTGCATGGCTTCCTATGAATTTGCTATTAGTTTAAAGAGTATAATGCTGTTTCCTGATCGATGTTATAATGTTGTTTCCCCTTTAAAGATTAAATACTTAGGGTTTAGATAAGGTAAGGTATCAGGCAGTGTTGGTACGTGAGCTATTCATTTTGTGGGTTTGCCTAAATGAAGTTCATTTCATCCACGTTTTTGTCCTCCTAGTCCACTTTTAGACCTGGTTAAGACCAAGATATAGACCGGATTTACCTGATACTTAAAAACCCAGCAATACTGGATGCCACAAATTTGCATGAATCAATCAAAATACTCTGAGTAAGATAATTAACAGTTATAATCTGACCTGTGCCCAGACTGGTGCGCGCTCATACTATTATAATGCATCACTTTGCTCCTTTTTAAATATGTATGTTTAAAAATGTATACACGGTTGTATCATGTGACTTGTACATTTAAATACCACCAACACATACCTGTGAATTTTATGTTCCCTGATGAAAACGCAAGTCGAAAAACGTTGGCGTTTGATATGAAATAAAATCATAGAAAAGTATATCGGAGTGCCTTGCATCTCTTTTTTCATCCAGTAAGTTATTTGCCCACTTGGGATCTCTGAAGAGCACCTGATTATTATTATTTCACTTCAGCAGTGATCATTGTTATGACACAGTTGAAAAGTAAATTTTACATAATATATCTCATGTTTAGGGTTATCTCTATCTAGAAACCATCAATCGTATTTCCACCTTTATTTGGTTAAAAAATGCATCTAAACAGTCTCAAATGAATCGTTTGACTGTTGACTATGGGTTGCCAAAAATCAAAACTGCACTCATTTGAGCAGGTATTGATAGTAAAAAATTCACATTCACAGGACAGAAATGAACCTTTCCAGAATGTCTTTAGAATGATCTTGAGCTGTATCAGAACAAGTATAAGAGCACATAGACTAGTATACACCCATGGACCACTATGGAAACTACCTACCTGAACCACTGAGGGATTACACACATAAATGTAAGCCCACATGGGAAGAGAAAAGAAAGTACTATGATTTATTTATATTTAATGTTGAAAATCACATTCTAATGTCTAAATAATGAGTGTTTTTTATTATCATTGTGGTATTGAGTATCAAGTCTATTCCTTACTATTGAAATCAAGTTTGAAATTCACGACAACACTAGTATAAACTACAAAAATAAGTTACTAAAATCAAAATTACTTGCAGCCCTCCACGTCAGTCATACATCTGTGTCTGCTTAGGTGTCTTCTGGTTGAATCATTGAACCGTGAGGCCATTGGATAAAATGTGTATGAGCCTTATAAGCGGGGGGCCAGCACAGCGGCTATAGCGTGGCTTTAGAATGGCCTATAATAGCTTAGGGAGGAATGATCCGGCGTATGGAGTGCGGAGGGGGTGACATTTCCGTGAATAGTGCTGATCACGCAGAAATAAATCAATGTCTGCTCTGCCCTGTTTCTACAAAGGACGACTGGAGCTGGAGAAGGGCCGGTCGTGTGGGTTTGGGGTGAGTTACGTGTACGGGAATGTGCAGGTTTGAATTTGGATATATTTGGATCTACTAATATAATCTGGAATATTTATTTTATATTTATTCATTTATTTAAATTTCCTTTTTTTGTTTTAATGGGGAGGCATTGTGTTCATGTTATTGCTTGGTCTGGAATATTCCACAGCAGGCCCAGGTCTGTTTGGTGTCTGTTGTGATCTTATTTAAAAGTGTTTGCAGTAAAATAATGACGGGAAAAGCACTGTCTTTGTGTCCTTTTATAACTCAGATTTAAACTCAGTCAGCTTGGTCTGCACCCGGGCCTATAGCCATAGTATGGCATTAAATCTAACGATGTCTTTGGAGGCAAGC